TGCAAATATTTTCTCCCATTCTGAAGGTTGTCTTTTCGTCTTGTTTATAGTTTCTTTGCTGTGCAAAAGCTTTTAAGTTTCATTAGGTCCCATTTGTTTATTTTTGTTTTTATTTTCATTACTCTAGGAGGTGGGTCAAAAAAGACGTTGCTGTGATTTATGTCAAAGAGTGTTCTTCCTGTGTTTTCCTCTAAGAGTTTTATAGTGTCCAGTCTTACATTTAGGTCTTTAATCCATTTTGAGTTTATTTTTATGTATGGTGTTAGGGAGTGTTCTAATTTCATTCTTTTACATGTAGCTGTCTGCTTTTCCCAGCACCACTTATTGAAGAGTCTGTCTTTTCTCCACTGTATATCCTTGCCTCCTCTGTCATAGATTAGTTGACCATAGGTGAGTGGGTTTATCTCTGGGGTTTCTATCCTGCTCCATTGATCTTTATTTCTGTTTTTGTGCCAGTACCATATTGTCTTCATTACTGTAGCTTTGTAGTATAGTCTGAAGTCAGGAAGTCTGATTCCTCCAGCTCTGTTTTTTTCCCTCAAGATTGCTTTGGCTATTTGGGGTCTTTTGTGTCTCCATACAAATTTTAAGATTTTTTGTTCTAGTTCTGTAAAAAATGCCATTAGTAATTTGATAGGGATTGCATTGATACTGTATACTGCTTTGGGTAGTATAGTCATTATCACAATATTAATTCTTCCAATCCAAGAACATGGTATATCTCTCCATCTGTTTCTGTCATCTTTGATTTCTTTCATCAAGGTCTTATAGTTTTCTGAGTACAGGTCTTTTACCTCCTTAGGTAGGTTTATTCCTAGGTATTTTATTCTTTTTGTTGCAATGGTGAATGGGATTGTTTCCTTAATTTCTCTTTCTGATCTTTCATCGTTAGTGTATAGGAATGCAAGAGAGTTCTGTGCGTTAATTTTGTATCCTGCTACTTTACCAAATTCAGTGATTAGCTCTAGTAGTTTACTGGTGACATCTTTAGGATTATCTATGTATAGTATCATGTCATCTGCAAACAGTAACAGTTTTACTTCTTCTTTTCCAATTTGTATTCCTTTTATTTCTTTTTCTTCTCTGATTGCTGTGGCTAGGACTTCCAAAACTATGTTGAATAACAGTGGCAAGAGTGGACATCCTTGTCTTATTCCTGATCTTAGAGGAAATGTGTTCAGGTTTTCACCACTGAGAATGATGTTTGCTGTGGGTTTGTCATATATGACCTTTATTATGTTGAGGTAGGTTCCCTCTATGCCCACTTTCCAGAGAGTTTTTATCATAAATGGTGTTGAATTTTGTCAAAAGCTTTTTCTGCATGTATTGAGATGATCATATGGTTTTTATTCTTCAATTTGTTAATATGGTGTATCACACTGATTGATTTGTGTATATTGAAGAATCCTTGCATCCCTGGGATAAATCCCACTTGATCATGGTGTATGAGCCTTTTAATGTGTTGCTGGGTTCTGTTTGCTAGTATTTTGTTGAGGATTTTTGCATCTATATTTATCAGTGATATTGGTCTGTAATTTTCTTTTTTTGTAGTAACTTTGTCTGGCTTTGGTATCAGGATGATGGTGGCCTCATAGAATGAGTTTGGGAGTGTTCCTTCCTCTGCAAATTTTTGGAAGAGTTTGAGAAGGGTGGATGTTAGCTCTTCTCTAAATGTTTGATAGAATTTGCTTGTGAAGCCATCTGGTCCTGGACTTTTGTTTGTTGGAAGAATTTTAATCACAGGTTCAATTTCATTACTTGTGATTGGTCGGTTCATGTTTTCCATTTCTTCCTGGTTCAGTCTTGGAAGGTTATACCTTTCTAAGAATTTGTCCATTTCTTCCAGGTTGTCCATTTTATTGGCATAGAGTTGCTTATAGTAGTCTCTTAGGATGCTTTGTATTTCTGTGGTGTCTATTGTAACTTCTCCTTTTTCATTCCTAATTTTATTGATTTGATTCCTCTCCCTCTTTTTCTTGATGAGACTGGATAAAGGTTTATCAATTTTGTTTATCTTCTCAAAGAACCAGCTTTTAGTTTTATTGATCTTTGCTATTGTTTTCTTTGTTTCTATTTCATTTATTTCTGCTCTGATCTTTATGATTTCTTTTCTTCTTCTAACTTTGGATTTTCTTTGTTCTTCTTTCTCTAGTTCCTTTAGGTGTAAAGTTAGATTGTTTATTTGAGATTTTTCTTGTTTCTTGAGGTAGGGTTGAATTGCTATAAACTTCCCTCTTAGAACTGCTTTTGCTGCATCCCATAGGTTTTGGATCATTGAGTTTTCATTGTCATTTTTCTCTAGGTATTTTTTAGTTTCCTTTTTTATTTTTTCAGTGACCTCTTGGTTTCTTTTTTTTTTTTTTGGCTGTACGCGGGCCTCTCACTGCTGTGGCCTCTCCTGCTGTGGAGCACAGGCTCCAGACGCGCAGGCCCAGCAGCCATGGCTCATGGGCCCAGCCGCTCCGTGGCATGTGGGATCTTCCCGAACCGGAGCACGAACCCGTGTCCCCTGCATCGGCAGGCGGACTCTCAACCACTGCGCCACCAGGGAAGCCCTCTCTTGGTTTCTTAGTAATATATTGTTTAGCCTCCATGTGTTTGTGTTTTTTATGTTTTTATTCCCTGTAATTTATTTCTAATCTCATAACATTGTGTTGGGAAAAGATGCTTGATATGATTTCAATTTTCTTAATTTTACCAAGTCTTGATATGTGACCCAGGATGTGATCTATCCTGGAGAATGTTCCGTGCGCACTTGAGAAGGAAGTGTAATCTGCTGTTTTCAGATGGAATGTCCTATAAATATCAATTAAATCTATCTGGTCTGTTGTGTCATTTAAAGCTTGTGTTTCCTTATTAATTTTCTGTCTGGATGATCTGTCCATTGGTGTAAGTGAGGTGTTAAAGTCCCCCACTATTATTGTGTTACTGCCAATTTCCTCTTTTATAGCTGTTAGCACTTGCCTTATGTATTGAGGTGCTCCTATGTTTGGTGCATATATATTTACAATTGTTATATCTTCTTCTTGGATTGATCCCTTGATCATTATGTAGTGTCCTTCCTTGTCTCTTGTAACATTATTTTAAAGTCTATTTTATCTGATACAAGTATTGCTACTCCAGCTTTCTTTTTTTAAATATATTTATTTATTTATTTGACCTAGTTGGGTCTTTGTTGCGGGACACGGGCATTCTCTAGTTGCAGCGAGTGGGGGCTACTCTTTGTTACGGTGTGCGGGCCTCTTGTTGCAGAGCATGGGCTCTAGGTGTGTGGGCTTCAGTAGTTGTGGCTCACAGGCTCTAGAGTGCAGGCTCAGTAGTTGTGGCTCACAGGCTTAGCTGCTCCATGGCATGTGGGATCTTCCTGGACCAGGGCTCGAACCCGTGTTCCCTGCATTGGCAGGGAGATTCTTAACCACTGCGCCACCAGGGAAGCCCTCCAGCTTTCTTTTGATTTCCATTTGCGTGGAATATATTTTTCCATTCCCTCACTTTCAGTCGGTATGTGTCCCTAGGTCTGAAGTGGGTCTCTTGTAGACAGCATATATATAGGTCTTGTTTTTGTATCCATTCAGCGAACTTCTGTCTTTTTGTTGGAGCATTTAATCCATTCACATTTAAGGTAATTATCCAAATGTATGTTCCTATTATCATTTTCTTAACTGTTTTGGGTTTGTTTTTGTAGGTCCTTTTCTCCTCTTATGTTTCCCACTTAGAGAAGTTCCTTTAGCATTTGTTGTAGAGCTGGTTTGGTGGTGCTGAATTCTTTTAGCTTTTGCTTGTCTGTAAAGCTTTTGATTTCTGCGTCGAATCTGAATGAGATCCTTGCCGGGTAGAGTAATGTTGGTTGTAGGTTCTTCCCTTTCATCACTTTAAATATATCGTGCCACTCCCTTGTGGCTTGTAGAGTTTCTGCTGAGAAATCAGCTGTTAACTTTATGGGAGTTCCCTTGTATGTTATTTGTCGTTTTTCCCTTGTTGCTTTTAATAATTTTTCTTTGTCTTTAATTTTCGTCAGTATGATTACTATGTGTCTCGGCATGTTTCTCCTTGGATTTATCCTGCCTGGGACTGTCTGTGCTTCCTGGACTTGGGTGGCTCTTTCCTTTCCCATGTTAGGGAGTTTTCGACTATAATCTCTTCACATATTTTCTTGGGTCCTTTCTCTCTCTCTTCTCCTTCTGGGACCCCTATAATGTGAATGTTGGTGTGTTTAATGTTGTCCCAGAGGTCTCTTAAGCTGTTTTCATTTCTTTTCTTTCTTTTCTCTTTATTCTGTTCTGTGGCAGTGAATTCTACCATTCTGTCTTCCAGGTCACTTATGCGTTCCTCTGCTTCAGTTATTCTGCTATTGATTCCTTCTAGTGTATTTTTCATTTCAGTCATTGTATTGTTCATCTCCGTTTGTTTGTTCTTTAATTCTTCTAGGTGTTTGCTCTTTAATTCTTCTAGGTCTTTGTTAAACATTTCTTGCATCTTCTAGATATTTGCCTCCATTCTTTTTCTGAGGCCCTGGATCATCTTTACTATCATTATTTGGAATTCTTTTTCTGGAAGGTTGCCTATCTCCACTTCATTTAATTGTTTTTCTGGGGTTTATCTCGTCCCTTCATCTGGTAGATAGTCCCCTGCCTTTTCATTTTGTCTATCTGTGAATGTGGTTTTTGTTCCACAGGCTGCAGGACTGTAGTTCTCCTTTCTTCTGCTGTCTGCCCTCTGGTGGATGAGGCTATCTAAGAGGCTTGTGCAAGTTTCCTGATGGGAAGGACTGGTGGTGGGTAGAGCTGGGTGTTGCTCTGTTTGGCAGTGATCAGTAAAACTTTAATCCGCTTGTCTGCTGATGGGTGGGGCTGAATTTCCTCCCTGTTGGTTGTTTTTCTTGTGGTGACCCAGCACCTGAGCCCATAGGCTGTTTGGTGGGGCTAATGGCAGACTCTTGGAGGGCTCACGCCAAGAAGTACTTCCCAGAACTTCTGCTGCCAGTGTCCTTGTCCCCACGGTGAGCCACAGCCACCCCCCGCCTCTGCAGGAGACCCTCCAACACTAGCAGGTAGGTCTGGCTCAGTCTCCTATGGGGTCACTGCTTCTTCCCCTGGGTCCCAGTGCACACACTACTTTGTGTGTGCCCTCCAAGAGTGGAGTCTCTGTTACCCCCAGTCCTATTGAAGTCCTGCAATCAAATCCCACTAGCCTTCAAAGTCTGATTCTCTAGGAATTCCTCCTCCCGTTACCAGACCCCCAGGTTGGGAAGCCTGATGTGGGGCTCAGAACCTTTACTGCAGTGGGTAGACTTCTGTGGTATAATTGTTCTCCAGTTTGTGAGTCACCCATCCAGTGGTTATGGGATTTAATTTTTACTGTGATTGCGCCCCTCCTACCATCTCATTGAGGCTTCTCCTTTGTCTTTGGATGTGAGGTATCTTTTTTGGTGAGTTCCAGTGTCTTCCTCTCGATGATGGTTCAGCAGTTAATTGTGATTCTCGTGCTCTCGCAAGAGGGAGTGAGCGCATGTCCTTCTACTCCACCACCTTGACCCAATCTGTTCTTCCTGTGTTTGTCCCTTAATACTGGTGTATCCCAAGACTCAGGATTAGGATCAAACTACAAACTCTTCCTGCATGATCCCCTTCATTTTCCAGGCTTCAATCACTATCTGTATGTTTCTCAAATCTTTATTTCCAATTTTTACTCTCTCCTGAGCCCCAGATTCTAGTATCCACAGCTGAAAAGAACTGAGTTCTACAGACAAGTAGGACATGAAAGAAAGCTTCCATGGTCAAATAAGTTTGGAAAATGCTGGGTTAAATAGAATGAAATTGACTTTTTTGCTGAGGTGCTCCTAGAACTGTGAATGTGCTATTATGCATTGCAAGTGTTTAAGAGGGAGTGTGGGACTTCCCTGGTGGGGCATTGGTTAAGAGTCCGCCTGCCAATGCAGGGGACACGGGTTCAAGCCCTGGTCCAGGAAGATCCCACATGCCGTGGAGCAACTAAGCCCGTGCACCACAACTACTGAGCCTGCGAGCCACAAGTACTGAAGCCCGCGTGCCTAGAGCCCGCGCTCTGCAACAAGAGAAGCCACTGCGATGTGAAGCCCACACACTACAACAAAGAGTATCCCCCGCTTGCCGCAACTAGAGAAAGCCCGTGTGCAGCAACAAAGACCCAATGCAGCAATAATAAAATATAAAATGAATAAATAAATCTTAAAAAAAAGAGGGAGTGTGTAATACCTCGTATTTCTTAAACTTATTTGACATCTGTATTGAACATAATCAATACATTTCCTCAGATTCTCTCAGCCCTGCCTGAGACCTGGATTCTTGACTTTTTGTTTTTCCTTAACTGTTTAACTATAGCCAGTGGTGTAGTTCTGTGGCCAACCAGCTGCTGCTGCCTGCATCTTGCATTGCTTTCCATCCCTCCATGCCTCTCTTCCCTTTTATATCATTCTTTCTTTTCTTTTCTTTGTTTTTTGCGATATGCGGGCCTCTCACCGTTGTGGCCTCTCCTGTTGTGGAGCACAGGCTCCGGATGCGCAGGCCCAGCAGCCATGGCTCATGGGCCCAGCCGCTCCGTGGCATGTGGGATCCTCCCGGACTGGGGCACGAACCCGTGTCCCCTGCATCGGCAGGCAGACTCTCAACCACTGCGCCACCAGGGAAGCCCTATATCATTCTTGAGGCTTTGGTTTTGTGCCTCCATAAAAAGCCTGAGCATATAATCCTTGCCTCAGGCTCTGTTTTCTAGGGAACCTGGGCTAGTACAACCTGCAACAGACCCCCCCCCTTTTCCTGGAATATTAACATCTCCTGGAACTTGGGGTTCCTAGAACACACTTTGGAAATGTGGCATTGGTTATTTTATTTTTCCCTGGATATCTGCAGGCACCTGAGACTCAGCGTGTCCAAGTCCGAATCAATCTGTTTTCCTTTATATCTGTTCCTCGTTTGGCCTTTCCTGTCTTAGTGACTGCATCACATTTGCTCATCACCCAAGTGACCTGGGCATTGTTCCTGACTCCTCCTTTTCCTCTTCCATCCAATCTGTCACCCCTCTTGCTTCCTCCTTTCTTCTTCTCATCTAATTAACAATTATTCATTCTTAAAGAGACAGTGTAGATATCTTTTTACCCTGTCTCCTCAGTCTGTTGGGGTCTGGGTGATATACCACTCTGAGTTCTCATAGGCCCTTAAATTGTTTCTCTTACAGCACTTATAACACTGTATGGTAATTGATCTTTTAAAAATGAATCTGTTTCCCCCACCACCTTTGGTGTCTTATTCAATTCTTAATCCCCAGCACCTAGGATAGAGAATTTACTGATTTATTGATTGATGGGAGTGGATGAGGCAGGTGGGAGAGAGAGAGCTCCAATTTGTAAGTCCTCAAAGGGAGGAAAAATAATTTCCCCTCTAACTTTCTGAGTTCTTTGCTGAGACCTCCGTAATAAAAACACAGATTAACAAGAGAAAAGCAAAGAGAAATCATAAACATGTATACCTTATGCATACATGGGAGATCCCCAAGGGAAAATAAGTGACTCCCTGAGGTGGCTTAGAATTCAGGATTATATACCAGCTTAATAGAGAAAAAAGAGGGGGAATGTAGGACTCTCAGCGGAGAGGAAATGATTTTTAGGAAAGATGAATGGGCCCTTAGAAGAGTAGAAGGGAGGTATGATAGTTTGTGACCAAGTTTGTCAGCATGTTGTATCAACTTCTAGCCTCCTTTCCTGTGATAAGACTCAATCTTCCCTTGTCGACGATGCCTCTAGGGAGGGTATTTTTGACAAATGAGTTCCTTTTGGAGGATCTGTCTTTAGACAGACAAGGGGGGTTCAGAGAAAGCTCTACCTGCATTTGCCATTTTTTCAAGTGCCTACAGCTCAAAATAATCAATATACCAAAGCAGTATATTTTGGGGTAGCATGTCCTGAACTCCTGCAGTCATATTTTGGGGCAGCATATTCTGCTACCCTCATTCCCCACCTTTGAAAATTCCTCAAGAAATTTCACAGTCTAGAAGCTGAGTTGGTAGATCTCATTGAACCAGTCTCTTAGTCCTGAGAATAGGTCAGTTCAGTTAAACAACTGTGCCTCATTCCAGGAGGTGGTATTGCAGGTGGGATACTAGCAGGTATCTGATAAGAGGCATATCTTTGGAAACAAAACAAATAATAGTTGGAGCACACTATAAGTCAGTTTCTGAGTCCAGAAGGCAGCCATGAGAAGATTTCTAGATACTGGGCTAGAAGCACCTTTCGCAGTTTAAATGTTTCTGCTGATGTCATTGGGTGTTCCAGTGAACTTTCTGAGTGATCCAGACAGCAACAGACATGAAGGTTGTCCATACATGATCTTTTGTGGTGATATCTCTGAGGTTTATATCAAGTTGTCCAGTTTCAGCTTCCAGGGCTTTTGGAAAAGGGAAGTTTTTGTTCTTAGTGACTCCAAGTCAGAAGGGTGAAAGAAAATTGCAAGCATTAGATTGGAGAGTTTTAACCAGATATTAGAGAAGACTAGAATTCAAGATCCAGTCCAGTTTGCAGGTAGATAACAAAACTTCAAAGACAATGCACAGGGCTAGAATCTCATACCCACAAGGATGTGTTATAATTTTCTATTGAAACATAATTTTTCTCTGTACAATCACCCCCATTTCTAGCAAAGGTAATCACGGTAAGATGAATCTGTTTGCAGACTAAGTCTAGTCTCACTAAACTTGGCCTGATTATTTACATAAGTGCAGCAAGTATAGCAATTGACCATATAGGTTCTTTTAAAATCTGCTTTGTTGGAACTTTCATAAGGAATCTCAGATTGGACTTTTAAAAGACTTTCAAGGCTAGGAAGCCAAACCAAGAACTCATCATCAGACTTCACATGCCTATCTATGCATTTGGGTGAATTCCTCTGTGCTCCAAGTCACCAAAATATCCTGAGGTTCCTGGGTCTGCCAGGAATTGATCTTCCTTACTCACCTGGTAAGGCTGGAAACCCTGAAATCAAGGAACCAGGAAGTTTCTCAGAAGGGGCCTTAATAAGCATTGGCTCCTTAAAGTCAACCTTATTTCCATAAAGCTGTCTGGCCATATCTGATTCTATGTACATCATTCTCAAATTTGATATCCTAGTCAAAGCCTTAGTAATATAACCAATGTTTCCAATTGTGTCCTACAAGGAGAACATATTCTTATCAAACTTACACAAATAGTTATATTGCCATGAAAATAAGAATACTCAATAAGAGTCTGAATTCTGGAGGGATCAGGTAGGGAGAAAAGATAAATGCCTCAATTCTGTTTACAAAGGTACACTTTACCAAAGTGCCATAAATCATAGATAGCTTAAGAGAAAAGAGAGAAGTTTTCTTAAATCTGGAAAACAAAACATTAAAGAACTAGCAATGTTTCAAACAAAAAGTCATAATTATTGTAATCATACTCATCAGTTTATTCAGTCCCAGGTAATTAATTCTTGTTTGCTTGATCTTGAGCTAGTAGTTTTATGAATCATTCTGTTTTTCTATTAGAGTTCTGGAAATTCCTACCCAGTTCAATGGTATGATCTCAAAGTTATTGGAAACTGATATTCTAGAGTACTTATCAAAGTCCTTTCCATGAATCTGAAGACAAAGTGTTTTTGGATCATAGCTACTTGCAAAAGCTTTCAGGAAACATCAGACTAAAACAATAACTGTCTGTGACTGACCAAAAGACTTAAAAATGGCCATGGTTAAAAACCTGATGAGAGTTCATTTAAACACAATTGACAAAGAAATTTGGTTATTTCTGTGTCGTACAACAGTTTAAGATGATAACTAGAGTTATGACTGATAACATTATACCAGGACATATCAGATTCTAGGAATTTCATATAATTTCTGGAACACCTATATTGATAATATAACACCCATACAAATATAACTTAAGAAGGTTAAACATTATTACTTTTTAAAAAATAAATTTATTTTTGGCTGCTTTGGGTCTTTGTTGCTGCATGCAGGCTTTCTCTGGTTGTGGCAAGCGGGGGCTACCCTTCGTTGCGG